GTTTGGACATCCTTAATCCTGAGAATTCCTAATTGCAAGTTTGGAGAACATCTGTCAGATTCAAGGAACTGAAATACAAGAATTCATCACATCTGATAATTCTGTTGAATTATTTTCTAGGTTTCTTACTGGACCTTTAAATCTTAATGATCCAGAAACAAAATGCCGTTTCCCCAAAATATTTGTGAACACTGATGACACTTATGAAGAGCTTCACTTAATTGTTTATAAGGTATCACAGTTTCCTYTGCAATTACTCCACAGAATTAGGCATCTCTAAGCAATGAAGATGATAATGATGTGAAGTACTTAATTTATAAAAAGGTGCACGAATCAGGCCAGGTTAAAGCAAAGAGACACAAAACTGGTATTTCTAGCAACAAACTTTAAAGCCTGAATTCTGTTTTCCCCTCTTCTGTACCCTGTCCAAAAGAAATTATTTTATTTAAATAAAATACCAGCCTTCAGTTGCTTTAAGCCATTTCATGCCTGGCTTTATGTAGGATTAATCAATAAAACAAATAATTTTTTTTTACATTAAATTGGAAGTTTCTTGCAGACATCTTTGCATTTTATCAAGTTTTATCTTTCTCCTACAACTTACACTGTTAACTGGGCTGAGTTTAAAAATCATTGCTAACCTGTGTTGTGCAGGACTGCAAAAAGATTATCCTATTGAAGATTATCCTGTTACCTTTAAAAAATATTTTTAAATGTCCTCATGTGTGTGACCTCACTGAAGTGTTGCCATTTATTTGGGTTGGTTGAAGTAACCTGTTGTAAATGTTCTTTTTGCTTTAATTTTKTTTTGTTCCAGGCCATGAGTGCAGCTGTCTGCTTTATGATTGATGGTAAGTACCCTTTAGCATCAATTATTTGCCAAGATTTTAGATGTAAAATCCTCTGACATGCAGCTTGTTTTGCTCTTGAAAAATACATTAATTTGTTGAGTCTCTTTTTCATGAATGCTTTTATCAGTTTTTTATCTTTGTTCCAGTGGTATAAGTAACTCAGTTTACACAGTAAAATTACTAAATCCTGCTTCAATTAGCCACTTTCAAAATCACCCTTAAGGTTTTAATTATGGGATAAATTTATCCTTGGGCTCTTGCTGATGTTTAAAGCAAACAACTCCAGAAATTGTACCTTCAGAATGTCATGTCTCCCTTTTCTGTGCCTGCCTCAGCTTCAATTCCCCCCACGCTGGAGTTCTGCCGCAAACTGGACAGCATTGTTGGGCCTCAGCTCACCGTGCTGGCATCAGACATTTGTGAACAATACAACATCAACAAAAGAATATCAGGGTTTGTACCACGTTTCTTTTCCTGTTGCATTCCYTCATGAGTTGATGAAAAGTTAGATTTAAATAGCAACATGAGCATTAATGGTGGACTTGAAACAATGTTTGTCTACTTTTGTTCATCTGGAGTGGTTAGAAAGTGAATGTTGTTGTATGTTTGGGTCTCCCTGAAATAACAATAGATGTTGCAAATTCAGGAACAAATGTTTATTGTCTGGCCGAAATGGGAATTTTAGTAAGTTTACAATGGAAGCTTTACAGTTGAGGACTTTTCCAGAATTACTGCTTCTTGAAATGTTGCCTTGTRTAGTAGGTGAGGAGAGAAAAGGTCTTGTTTTTAATGTATTTTGCAGGACTAAGGTAATAACTTGAGGGGCAAAAAGCAGTCAAATGAGAAAGGATGTTAGTGCTTTGGAAAATACACTTCACTTAGAACTGCAGCTGACTCACCATAAAATTGTATTTATTTTTTGATAGATTTATTAGTTGGGGAAGCAAGAAMAGTATCACATATGGCAGCTAGGAGGAATCCAACCAAAGATTGGTGTGGGAGTGAACTCCCACTCCCATGGTCAGTGGTACCATCCCAAATCAGCAAAATCACACTGCATAGAATAGGATGTGCTTGAAATYGTGCCAATCTACTAAATCATTAAACTTGGGGTTTTTAAATGTCATCTGGGACTGGCTTTGGCAGCTTTAACTCTTTAAAAGTTTAATGCCATGGTGTCCTGAAAACATGATCCAGTTCCCTGACACTAATGCAGGTGGGTGACAGGGAGCAGGGGTATCTGGTTGTTTGCTRAGGTGAGTGGTGTCATCACAGTATCTCCTGCTCCTAAATAATGCATTGCCTCAAAAACCAATTGCTGCTCCCAGTCTGAATGCACTGGGACTTCTACAAAAAACTACAGCTCTTCATTTTTATATTCACATCATAAAAGAGGAAATGGAGGAAGACTGCCAAGGCAGGAGTTTGAAAATAGTCTCTTGCTTGGCCCACACAAACGAGGGGGGCAAATCGAATTTCCTGGATCAAGGAGGAGTTTGTTCTCTTGGTTGTAACAAATAACAAAGACATGAATGGAAGTTTATTTCTTGATTAAATTTAAGAGTGAGCATCCATTCAAATCAGCCTGGACTGGCATAGGAAAGAGCAGCAGGAACAAAATGGGGTCAGAGAAAAAAGCAGCTCATTAGAAAAACACAAATGAATTAATTACTACTGTGAAGAGGAACGAGGCCTTCAGACTCCCCTRTGTGTTTTCTGGCAGCCTGAGGAGCTGAAGGGGAAACACTGGCTGGTTCTTTTGATCTGTTTTTTTTAGAGTGTGTTAAAATTAAGTTCAATCCCACAAGTCTTAAAATACTTGTGTTTCTTCAGTGTGAGGATAACTCCAGGCTAAGTTGGCTCTGCTCTGGCTCACTACCCAATCTCTGGGAATCCTCTGCTTATAGAACACACCACTATTCACAAATCACTTTTTTTTTTTCTTTTCAAATCTTCCTAGGGCTGAGAAGGAACCTCAATTTAAGTTTATCTATTTCAATCACATGAACCTGGCAGAGAAAAGTACCATTCACATGAGAAAAACACCCAGTGTATCACTTGCATCTGTTCACCCTGACCTCATGAAGATTCTCGGTGACATCAACAGTGACTTCTCCAGGTAATGCTTAACTATTAAATAGTCTGTAACTCCTACCATCAAGCAGATGCTTTTTTCAAAGGAGTGGGGCTTTTCAGTATTTTTGTTGATGGCTGGCTGTTCATGTTTGGTATTTTGTGTAGCTCTAGAAGTAGTCCATTTTAAAAGGAAATTCTAGTGTCCTTTTAAAAAAATAACTGAAAGGAGGGCCAGGGCCTCTACCCCAAAAAAATAATCCCATCTGTTGAAGGGTTCAGAGCAGTCATAACAAATGGGGTGGGAAACACCAGAAGCTGTCCAAAGTGGGATTGTATAAAGGACAGGGACCTCTGCTCCCACTACTGATTTATACATTTGGGGTTCTCCCAAGCAGCCATTTATGAAGCCTTCATCTGGGACTGAATAATGGCCAAGTTGGAACTGGTATTTCCTTTGATATGTACAATCACAATTTGGGACATTGAGCTGTCCTAATAATTACAGATAAAGTTGTTGAAGATGAACTTGATGCCACCTTTTTTACTTTCTCAAACTTCTTTCAGAGTTGATGAAGATGAGGAAATTATTGTGAAGGCAATGAGTGATTACTGGGTAGTTGGGAAAAAGTCTGACCAGCGAGAACTGTACGTTATTCTGAATCAAAAAAATGTAAATCTGATTGAAGTGAATGGTAAGGATTGTTTCTTATTACTTTGAAATCCTAAAATGTGTGTCCCTAGAGAAGCAAAAAAATCTGTCTCTTGAGAAATCTAGAGAGGGCCTGGTCTTTGATAGAGCAGGGGAGTTTACCTGTTTTAGTCTGCTTACTATCAGCTATGAAAGGACAGCATAAATATTCAGCAGGCATTCTTAATTATTAATCAGCCATTCTTCCTCCTTCAAATAATAGCACTGTGAGCTTACTTTAGGAGTCATTAATAAAGTGTATTACAGGTGAGAGATGAATATATTTACATCTGAGTTCTTTGTCAGTGATGCAGGAGTTGTTATTTACACATTGGGGCTGTCCTGTCAGTCATCCCCATCCATCACTGTCCTGTTTCTAACGTGGTTTTGAGAATAATTTATTATGACTAAGAGTGAGAATTAACATTAAAATGCATTAAGTTTTTATGGTGCTATTTCAAACYTACTTGCAGCAATGTTTAGGCTCCCTGTTTTAACTGTGATCATTTAGACAATTGGGAAGAATTAATACCTTCCCAGGACCAAAGCCTAGCAATCTACAACTGAAAATGAGGAATGAGTTGCATAATTTGGAAATCTTCCTGTAATTGTCTTCCAGCATCAAACCTATCATACAGAAGCAGTAAATGAGTGTTTCTGTGCCTGATAAACTTAGGAARTGTTRYCTACCAAATCACACAAAGCTGAAGTTTTGCTGCCTTGATTTACTGTTCCTTTCTCTGAAGAAGGGGTTATAAYACAATTCCTTCTCTCAAAGCCAAGGCTGTTGCAGTGGGTGATGAGGGGCCCATCATTTGTACTTGAGCTGCTCAGACACAACTCACCTTTCACACAGGGGCAGATGTCAGACTTGACTTTTTTCTGCTGAAGACAGAGTAACATTAAGTGTATTTCTACATCAGAAACTCTCAGGGCTTTTTKTGTTAGAATTTAATTATATTCTCCWTGACAATCCCCRRGGTTTTTCTYGAGAAGCTTTCTGTAAAATATACTGATGTATCTTTTTTTTTTTTTTTTTTTAACAGAAGAAGTGAAGAAACTTTGTGCAACACAGTTTAATAATATTTTCTTCTTGGATTGATCTGCAAAGGGCTGATTTATTGAAGATGTCAATGTCAGGCACTTGTTCAACATGAGAAGTTATTAGTCATATTATTGACTGGAATAATGACAATAGTAAAGCAATACTTGCTTTGTAAGAATCAAAATTTCTACTAAAAATCTGTAAACTCTGGCCATAAAATTTTTAAATTTTAAAAATGTTTATGTGCAAACTAATTAAAAACCAGTCTGAAYTCATCTGTACCATTCCATTCTGATATGCTATGTGAATATTTTGCTGAAAAATAAAACTAATAATTGTTACACTTTAAGAGCATGTGTTCAYTTGCACTGTGTGACTTCTGCCAGTTCACCACTCACCCAAGGTCCTGTGTARAAGGTTGTTCCCTCTTGTGTGTACAGTTGTATCATTCTTACAGCTTCCCACRAGTGGGGTTCTTTTGGGGTTGTTTTGGTTTGGGTTTTTTTCCCTAATTGAAGAGTACTTGGTTGAAGCTCCAGTAGTTGTGAGCAGAGGATTTACTGCTTTGCCTTTTTGTCAGCAGATGCCTTCTGTGGCCTTTCCTTTCCAGGCTTTGCTGCTTTCTGGGGCTCTTTCTTTGCTGGGGGTTCTTGCTTGGGGGCCTCTTTCTTTGGCAGTTCCTCTTTCTTGGCAGAGAGTCCTTTCCTGGATGGATCTTTCTTTGCACTCCCCTCTTTCCTGCGGCGCTTCCCCTTTGGAGTCCCACTCTGGGAGGAAAGGGCCTTCAGTGCTGCAGCTGCTTCTCGCCTTCTCATCTCTTCTTCTTCTTTYTCAGCAACACGTCTGAGTGGAAAAATTGGAATTTAATGTACTGCAGGAGGAGGGGGAACATTGATACTGGCTAAGCAACTCCAGCTCGAGCCATTGACTGAGCAGTGTGAGCTTCCACAGTGTAGAGAAGCAGAATTTTAATCACTTCAAATCTGTCTTAACTGCCTTCACACAGAGCAGGGTTCAAGTGGCAGGAAATACCAGAGTTGTAACTGAAAGCAGCCTGTGTTTGTTACTCCAGCACAGGAGTTACATTCTGTGTGTTGTTAATTATACCTGCCTGAGTTTGTTTTCCAGGTACAGTGTGCTGTACTACTTTCCTAAGCACAATTCCCATTTTCATGCATTTTGTTAGCAGAAGATAAGAGTACTGCCAGACAAGATTCAACACTCACCTTGCCAGCTCCTCAGCCTCCATCTTTCTCAGCACAGCTAATTCAGCATCCTGCTCTTTTTTTGATTTTACTTCTTCCCTCAGCTCCATTTCATGCTGGAAAGCAGGGAACAATTTAGTTGTGAAAAAGGTTTGCACCTGAGACATCCATAGACTCAATTCCTCRTCTTGTTCATCTTTGTCTTCTTTTGCTTCATCTGCAACATGTAAATGAAACRTTTATTTAGCAGGGCACTATTTCAAATGTGTTTTGGACTGCAATATTTCAGCTCTGATACTCTGCAATGGGAAAGTCTGGCTCCTGCATGGTACAGAAGATGAAAGGTGTGAGACTGAACTGAAAGAGGGTGGCTTTTTTGTGAGGTTTAATGATTGGGCCCTGTGAATGGCATGAAAAGACAAGGAACTCTTAATTCTGTCCTAAGAGTCTCCTGCAGTGACCTGATGAGAGTTCAGTGACTCCTGTGAGGGGGGAATGGAGGAATAAACAGAACCACCTGAAAGGACAGGGGACTGTGCCAGKGTCCCTTGTCATGTCAGAAAACAGCTGATGGGCCCTCAACAAACAGCTTTGAGATGTGAAACTTTTCACCCATCAGATTTCAGCAAAAGAGCTGCTGAGTACACAAAGATTCTTGTCTACCTGTGTCCTGGGATGTGAGCTCTGTATCAGCAGAAAATGTTTAACAAACACAAAAAAACAACCCAGATGGGATCTGCCAATCAGCTGGAAGGAAAATGGTACAAAAACCTACACCCTCACCATGCCCAAGTGCTCTGACTGACATTTCCTGTGTGTGGATGTTGGCCTGTCCTAGCACAAGGCATCTTATCCCAGCTATGGGGCCACATCACCAATAACAATTCCTAGATAAAGTAAAAGAAACAGGACATTGCACTAATGTATTTTATTGTCCAAGACACTACAAGGACAGGCTTGCAGCTTGAGCTTCTCATAGAGTCAACACAAATTACAGCTTATAGATGCCCTACAAATAAAATGTGGCATTTAAAAATTGGGGAAACTGTAAGTCAGTACCTAAATGTCTCATTTAATCATTAAGTTTTCTTTTAAAAAATATTTTAAGTTTTTTAAAAAGATCTTCCTCCAGAATTAATGCTCATTTACTGCCCTCTTGTGACAAGCTGAAATCTGCATATACAATTAAAATTTCACAATTCAAGAGCTGCAAGAGATTTGTATGTGTGTATTAAGTCCTAAAACAGTAGGACTGTTTTACCTGTCAATTCCTTTACTGGACAGGARCCTTGTTCTTTTTTTACATCTTCATTGAGCAATGACACATCCTCTTTGCTTTCTCCAGGAGTTGAGGGAAAAGTGAGAAGAGTTTCTGGTATTGAAAAGAAAGAAAATCAGAATTACTCAGCCTTCACTAATTCTGTTTATGAAATACCAAGTTTGATCTTCAGCACAAACAAATGTAGATTGTCAYCTGACCTAACAGGCAGACCTGTGGTTAAAATACTTCTGAAATGATGGAATTTGTTTCTAATGAAGGCACAATGCAGAGTTCAGTCTCCTGTTTCTATGCCCAAATGAGGAGGACAAAACAGGATGAATTAAGGTTTAAAAAGCCTTTTAAATTATTTTTAAGGCCAAGGCGATAGCTTCTAAATAAAAAGCACAGCAAATTCAGAGATTCCAACTTGCCCAGCTACGTGTGTGCAGCAGGTGTGGAAAGCTAAACATAAACCTTACCATAACTGCCCAACTGAATGGAGCTGCCCTCTGTAAGTGCAGCACATCAGCTATTCCCATGAGCAGCTCCTGTTTAATTGTCTTGGAAGCTGCAGAAAAGGTGAAGCTCCTCCAGCCACTTCATCATTTTACAGGCACTTTATGCACTACTCACCCAGCAGAGAAGGCTGATCAGCAAGTGCTCTGTCTTCAGGAGGTCTCCGTGGCTGGCAAGAAGTTTTAAATTCAGTTAGTTACTAAATGTCTGGGCTGGTGTTCAAATTAAAAAGTGAAATCCCATGTCCCTTTGAGTCATGCAAATTCCCATCTCCAAAGYATTCCTGCCAACCAAATGCATTCTGCAAGCATGCCTCTCTCAAAACATTTAAATTGCAAGAGTGTTTCACCTTTTCAAGTATTACCAGAGAACAATTTACCTTTGATGCCAGCCAGGCAGGTGGATTATCCTATTTCAGAGCTAGGGAAAGAGAGCACTACAGAGAATGAATGCTCCTGTTCTTTGACTTGTTCCTCTGTTCTTACACATTATTATCTATTCTTTGTCTGCTGCCTCAAAAATGTCATCATTTATGTCTGTACCAATTGTATTTCTGCTGTAGATGCACTAATGAAATGTAACACGAGAAGAATTTTACCCTCAGTACATTAAAGATTTTTGGGGTTTTGACTGTTTTAACTGAGCCACTTCACTGTGCAACTGTGTCAATGCTTGCAGTGATGGAAGGGAATGGGGTCCATAGGGTGGGAAGTGGGGGTGGACAGTGGCACTGCTGCCTTACAGACTGTGAAATGGTGTGTTTGGGAATACTCTTTGAGTTAAAAATACTTCCATCTTGTGCATAATTCCACATAATAACAATTCTAATTCATGCCTTCAACCACTCTGTGTATCCAAATTGCACCAARCTGTATCTGAAGTGTTAGAGGGAATACATTACAACCTACAAAATCCTGAATCAGAAGTTTAATAAGAGCACAGCCTAACTGCTGGCAAACAGCAAGCCTTGTTACACACAGCAGCTGCAATGCCATTTTTGCAGGACAATTTTAGGCACTCAGCTTAAAGCAGCAGTGACATATCCTCCACCAGCCAACCAATCTGTCAGATCTCCTTCAGAAGCACTCTGTGTATTCATAGTCATGTAGGAAAATGTGCAAGTGTGTTAAAATTCTGCACTGATGTTACAATTTAAGGTACCAACAAACAGAAAAAGCAGAAGGACTTAAATCATTGTTTACACAAAAAGAGGAACTTGATTTCCACATTTGCAGGGCCAGACTTCACCCCCTAAGTGAACACATAATAATATTGAACAGGTTTCCATCAACTTTACCTGGGGTAGAGAATATTCTGAGTACAGAGACACAGTTGAGGTTTCCTTGGACAGTCCCTTGATTTTATGGATATTTCTTTCCCGATTTTCTTGAGCTACTTGCTCTGGGATCATGTCATCAGTAACACACACCAATGCACATTCAAGAAGAGCTTCAAAAAACTCCAGAAAAACCAACTAGAATAAAACAAATGCAGTGGTGAATTAGTTCATTTTTGCAAAATCTCTTAATKAACAGGCATATGTACCTGAGCAAGCAAAGAACTCAGAAGGGATTGTGAAGTCTCTGTGGCCTCATTTATTCAGTCAAACATCCCTTCTTCTGAAGAAAAACTGAAAACAAYCAAAGCTCAAAAAATTCAGGAAGGGATATCGTGTGTTACACTTTATACAAGTCATACTGAGCTAAAACACTGATTTTTGTTGTRTCTGGAGCTATGAGAATTTCTCTAACAAGCAACTCACAACTACAGCTATTACCCAASACATTTTAATTGCACACCTCAGGTATGCTGAGACTGCTAAGATGTGGTGATAAGAAAAATATACAAGTACATGAGCTAAACTAAAAGATACAGGCAGAACAAAGGAAGATGAAATTAGAGGCTTAAGTTTGTATTCTTTTTTTTAAAATAAATTCTTTTTCCTCCTGTTTCAGCAGGTAGGACAGTATTTACAGCAGTTTTTAAAAGCAATTTTAATTGTTTTTCCATACACATACCTCCAGATCCAGGTTGGCACTACGGTGTTCATTGATATCATGTAGAGAGGCACCAATTTTGACAAATATTTCCAAAAGTTTTGGAACAGTTAATTGTTCATTGAAAAGCTTTAAATCCTGAGTAAGAAGAAATGTTACATGTTAACAGCAATTAAGGCATTCCCCACATGGACCTGATCACACAAAACAAAACAAAATTAGATTATTACATCAAGCATCCAGAGGAATTGCCTCATCCTCACTGTGGGTTCAAATGGAGGTCTGAGACGTGGTCTACAAAAATCTCTGTARATTTCCCAGCATTTGTCAATGTAGCTCGAGGCAAAAAATGTGAATCGTTCACCAGAAAAGAAGATACCTTTCAAAATGAATTGGGAAAAAATAACAGTTATAACAAAACTGTAATGCAGGTGGTAYTAACTGATGAATTCTGCACAAAAGAAATAGCATTGCTTACCTTGGACATGACAGGCACAGGGCAGAACATTCCAGGACATCAATTCTAAGAAACATTTATTAAGATGAGGAGCTTCATCTCTACAGTTGAAACAAAAATCTCTTGTGTGGAGAGATTCAAACTGATTACACTGAAATAAATTTCACTAAAAGAAGAAACTTACTTGTACTCTTCATGATACATATGAAATGCAAGGTGAACAAGGTAGGATAAAAATGTTCTGAACAGTATTATCTCATGTGGACAATGTATATCCCCAATTGGTTTATTACCTGAAAAATTAAAAAAAACAAAAAACCAACAACTCTGCTTTTCTCATGTACATTAAAATGCTTACAGGCATATTGATTTGTCAGCTTTTCTTATCCTCTCCATCTCTACGTAGCAGTGTGACAACACTGCCAGAACACTCAGACCAGACAAGGCAGCACTTCCAAACAAAGCTCAAGGCAGAGCTGTCCACCTGTAGCTGCATCTTGGACCATTCTCTTTTTCTAGAAATGCACCCACTCATATATAGCATATATAGCATATATAGCATATATAGCATATATAGCATATATAGCATATATAGCATCTATAGAAACCCAGCATATATAGAAACAAAAGGGGACACAAAGCTGGAGTTAAACCCTTCACATATGAAGGACACTGCAGGTCTAAAGGGAATTGATTGATTAACTGGCTCTATGGAAGAAAAAAAACCATACTACCTGCAAACCAAAGTTAGGAACACCGAAAAAACCAAACATTTGTTTCTCCTACTTCTCTCTCTCTCTTAAAACTGCATAGTAATGGCAAGAACAAGGGTGAATACATATTTTGAGCAGATGGCTCTTCAGTGCAAGTTTTGATGTTGTATTTTAATTCTGTATTTTCTCACTGAAGGACCAGTGGAGTGCCTGGAGAGCTGTTAATTGCACAGAGGCACTGACTCAGGGCCACTTAACTGCCAGGAGCAMTTGCCCCTCYRYTCTAGACCCTGAGAACAGAAACACAAACCGCCCAGGAGCCGATCCATTTCTGCCAGAGTTATGGAGAAGTGATGAAACTCGCAGTCCTTCAGGAATCTCCAGAACTGCAGCTTGGTCAGGACGTAAGTGCCGTCGAGAGACCGAGCRCAGCCCAGCTGACTGTAGAACTGATAGATTTCTCTCAGTTTTGAAATGTGCCTCAACACAGCCAATTCCACCTAAATAAAGCAGGATGTTTTCAGCATCATCTCAAAGCAAGCAGAGATYGGTTTGTATTGATCCTGTAACTGGGTAGATAATTATTTAATTTTGCAACTTAGATGAGCATATCCCTGGCTAAGTGCTYACAAAAGCATTACTCAAAAGCAGTTTTAATGCATGAGTTTTGGTRGCCAATAAAAATAAATTGTCCTGTGTCAGCAGACAAACCTCAGAGTAGCTGAAGCTGGTTGCTGAATGACYTTCCAGAGATGTTAAYCTATTTTAAATTCRAYKTTTTTAGTGGAAGCTCAGAAGAGGMAATACTGCCTATTCATCCTTTTTGCTTTTCTGTTTTCATGGCCTTCAGATTTTCAAATAATTGTTTAATGGAAGGAGTTAGTTTAATACAAATAAACCAGAAATAAAATTGAAACACAATCCAGCAGAAAAGTGGAAGTATCAAACAGTAGAATCTTACTTGTTTCAATTCTTCTGCTCTGTCTTCCCTCAGAAACAACTCCAGCAGTACAGCTATTTCCAACTCAATATCTGCTCCCAGAATAGAAGTCTTTCCCACRGCATTAATGACTGTGGTCCTTTCTACCAGGCAAATAAAATAAGTTAGAACAAACTAAAACCAAGTTTAATATATATTCACACAGAAAAGCAAAATTTTTCCTTCTTATCTTACTGACTTGGGACAACAGACTCCTTCMTAGTGAGGAGCAGAGATTTCATAACCAACAGTGTAAATAACAACTGAAGAGCAATTTTGTGAGACCAGTCCCTAACCAAAGGAAATGCAGACATTACATAAGCTGTGAAGCTTTCACACAGCAGTGCTCAAAGGCACTACAAGACATGGTGTGGATGTGGCAATCCAAGAGTCACACACAGGAAACGCAACATGGAGGCCAAAGTCATGACTCCCATTTTCATCTAAGTTCTTTGAAGAAATACATCTGGTTCCTGAGCATGTACAAATGGCTTCATGTTATAGTAAAATGGAACAACAAAATGTGAATTGAGTAAAATTTGTTTTGTTAAAATGCTCACTAGTGCCACGCCTTCTGCTAATGTGTCCATGCTTTTTGGTTTCCACCACAGCAGCCCCTGGATGAGCAGGACATTTCACCAGAAGATCATCTACGAACTCTCCTTCAAAAATTTGACCATTCTTGAAGACAAACCTGCCCTACAGACAGATTAAATGTAATGTAAAAATAGAACAAAGATCATAAACAACAAAACTAATGCTCCCAGTCAAATTTCGTTTCCAGAATCTCAGCCAAAACGCAATCTATGAAATAAAATATAGCTAAATTATTTTCTTACCCTATTTTATAATGCATTTTGCCACCTATGAAATAGGTATGTTGTCGGGATAAAGAACTGCCTATGTGTCTGTTTGATTTTGATAATTATTTTCCTCCATATAGGAAGACTTGTTTTGCATATGTGGCATTCCACTCAGAGATTTTTCCAAAGTCTGATAAATGTGAGAACCTCTCTGTGCAAGGACAGCTTGAAATCCATTAGCACACAGCAGCAGTGTGAAATTCCAACCAACCACAGCACAACTGAAGATGCACCTGTTGTACTGACACCTCCACAGTGCAATGTTTGTACTCACAACACACATCTAACYACAGTCACTCTGTGTCCTTGGAAGGATTCTGACTGTTTTCAGTGCACTCCCTGCCCTTTGTGTGATGATTCCATCCACACTGCCAACTGAATGTTGTTTTCTGCACAAAAATCTAGAGATCCACTATGCTCTTGTCTGTAATTTGGTCAATACTCACCTTGCCATGCTTTTTATTGCCAGCCCATTCTCCAGTGTACACTGATCCACCAGCATACACAAACATCCCCTGGCCGTGTCGCTCCCCTTGCACAAAGTCACCCACGTATTCATTCTGCAGAGGATACTGAGACTGAGACATTCTCTTCAAGAGCCATGTGTGCTTGCCAGATCCATGCTGAAAAAAAAAAAGTGTGTTTAAAAAACAGGTCCAGATTTTGGTACTTCTCTGAAATAAAAAAACCCTGGTGATGGCTGCAGCACTTCAAAGCAGGCACAGATTATATCCTACAAAGGTGCATGGAGAAGCAGAGGACACACTCCATCAACACATGAGCAAGCTCTGCCACAGGTGACAGAAATAAACTGTCACAACTCAAGCTAAGTCACAAACATATCACTTCTTTAACTTTTTTTAAAGTTAACTTCTTTAACTTTTTTTTTTTTAATTGAAAAAGGTTTATGTTTTGCACTAGGGAATTAAATTTTGATTTTATAGGACTAAATCAAAAGCTTTTTAAMAATTTGAATATTGCTAACATGAGAAACAATTTACAATAAAGGACATGTTTCTGCTATCTCAATTGGCAAAAATTGTACAAAGCTCTATTGATATTGCCCAAAACTCCCTATTTAGTTATTCTGGATTGGACAGATGCTRAACTAAAGAAAGGTTTCTGGGGAAGAAATTAATACCTGAATGCCACATGACCACTGTCCTATATACTCTTGATTATCTGTCACCCATGTCATCTTCCCATGGCCGTGTCGTACATTTTTCTCCCACTGACCTTCATAGACATTTCCAGACCTGTAGCTGGAAAAAAAATAAAAGCTAWTTCACACTAAATTCTATGCTGATCTTATGAAAGGTTTATRTGAAACCTCATTGCTAACAAATTTAGAATTTATTAAGGCTAAATACAAGCATTCATTTGAAAATGGGCTCACTATGACATGGATACAAAGGTTTGGTTGCAGCCACTGTTCACCTCCTATTTATAATTTAGAAATCACTAAAAATATTAACCATCTCTTTTCTCCAAAAAGTCTTGGCCATAGCTATTAAAAATACTTGTTTATATATAATTCTTTAAATAAGTCATTTATTCATAAGGCAGCTGCATCTGCTCAAATCAATTGAGTGTGTTTGTTTTTAAATACTGAATTGTGGTTTACCAAAGCTGATTTGGGATTCTGTCTTTAGCTATTCTTTTGTGTGAATGGTCAGTAGAAATACAGCACATAAAAATGAACTTCTGAAGGAGGTCTGGTTGGTTATTATAAAGCAATTTGTAAATTTTTTTTGCACTGCAGAATGTACACACTACTATGAAATGACAGCATTTGTACCCATGTTAAACAACACAAGAAATTGTAATATAATACACAAAAATAAAACAATGTGAGAATAAGAACAAGTGTTATATTTACCGTCTCACTCCCCATCCTTCTCTAACATTATTTACCCATTCACCTGAATACCAGGAGGAATGTTCCTGATCATAATAAATTATACCCTGAAACAAAGAGTAGAGCCAACTTAAATAGCTAWATATTCATCTGTATAAATAAAGCAACACATACAAATTATATGACACTTCTAATCACATTCTAATACTTAAAGTCACTTCCATTCACTGTACTGAAAGCAACTGAAGTGATACAAATAAATAAAACAGCATCCTCTTTTGATTAAAAACCACTAAGTGTTCAAAAGGAAAATCCTATTAAATTACACCAAGGCCTACCATGTTTTTCAAACCCCTTGGAAATACTTTAAGAGAGCTAACTTTGGTATCTTAATTACAGCATTCACTCTGAGGCAGTTCAGTTTTCTGACCCATGCAGAATTTTATTTCCAAAAGTAAGTCTACAGTATTCACAACTCAGAAAAGCTCCTTAGGAAAAACACATTTCTACAAAGCATAGGACCCTGCTACAGAACAAAACAATTTTGCAAAACCTTTGCACAACAGCATTTGCTGYTCTTCAAGGTWCCAGCYGAGCCCATGCTCTCACTGGGTTCTYACTGACCTTGCCATGTCTTTTGCCATTGCACCAATCACCAAGGTAAGAAATGGGACGAGTACCGCTCCTGAAAAATCCAAATCCATGCCTAAGTCCATCTTTGATTGACCCTTCRTAAACACTGCCATCATTCCAGGTGTAACAGCCATTAACTGTCGGYACATTCTTAACAAATGTTCCCTGAAAGATTAAATTACAACATTAGAAAAAATAAGGCTCTGTGTGATTTCAGTGTGACTGAAATCACTGCCACACTTCTGCAGCTGCCAACTGTACTACACCAATTCCTGCAACTTATATATTTTTCTTCAATTTGCACATCTTACTGGGTGCAATTGTGTTGTTAGAAAACTGAAAAATTAAATTGTACTTTACCTCGTACTTTACTCCATCGGCCCATGTGTAAACTCCTTGTCCATTCATACGCCCTTCAGAAAACATACCCTTCAAAATGAAGAGAACAGTATCATTTGCACATTTATTCTTACTCCAGCTGAAGCCTACAGTGACTGTAAGATTTCAAAAGAATGACATGTTAATTCCCCTCCAACTACCAGYTACAAATCAAGAGTTTTAATGCCAGAAACTAACRGAGMCTTCAAWGCTTCTYAGWRCTTGGGAGAGAACTTAGTCCACTAYTACCTCCTTTTTTTAAATTTATACACTCACCTTGTATGTATCTCCGTGCTTAAAACACACAAATCCTTCWCCCTCATAGAACTCATCAACTTGTTTACCTTCATAGCTACAAAGAAAGCAAACTAAAGATGAAAATCTCAAGTCACTGCCAATGGATCTAAATCACATATAAATGACCTTTGATTTACCACRGTCTACAGGTGAGCTGTTGAATCTTATGTAGAGTTATGAACTACAAGAAAATTTCAAGTTTTTTGACCCTTCCTTGTAATATTCCACATAATTCTTGTGTTGCCTCAGACCCCTAGYATACCTTTCTACAATCACTTGAACAAGAAGAGGCTCCTCGTGGAATGGGGGAGGAGGTGGGGCTGGTGGTTCCTTCACCTCTGGAATTGCATGAGTTTCTTCACTCACTGATTCAATGTGCACCTCTGGCAGCACTGTTGAGCTACTATCAGTTGTAGGAACTGGAGATGCTTCTGACTTCTCACCAGCTGCCTTCTTATCACCTTTCTTCTTGGCGTCTTTCTTCTTGACATCTTCCTTCTTGGCATCTTCYTTCTTGSCATCTTCYTTCTTGGCATCTTCCTTCTTGSCWTCTTTCTTCTTGCCTTTTAGCATAGCTGTTGAATTGTCTCAATGTGTATTTTCCTTCTGAAAAATTAAAATTTACTTCTGTTTCATTAAAATAGTTTTACCCTATAAACTAGTTTAAAAAATCCCAAAACACAGACAGCTACCMAAAAAACCCAACAGTATTTCTCTGATTATTATGCATACAAGCATTTAAGTTATTTCTGCAACAGCAATTCCTCAAGGTAGTGGTGTCAGCTTGTGGCAGGGAGGCCACAGGTTTAACAGGGAGCAATGTCTGTGAATTACCTCCACATCTTCCCTCAAAACCACTGTTTTGCACACAGAGAGCTCTGTCTTTACTCGATTTTTAGGTGTCTATTAGATTTAATTAAATGGAAAAGTTAAAAGCCATTTCTCAAAGATAGGAGCTCGGCAAGTTCTTGGAAGTTACAGCAGCAGTACTATTACTGATTTAACTTTCCTTCCAAGCCATGAGTTGCAGACTGACCCAGCGTAACCACTGTAACTTGTGGTTATTTTGTCACRGAAGATACCTGGAGGTTCCAGGGCTCCCTGCGATCGGAACGCAGCCGGGAATCACCGCTTGGCAGCGCAAGAACCCAACACAAGAATCGCCGTGACTGAGGGCGGGCAGGGACAGCCTCGGGGCTCCTCAGGCCGGCTGCTCAGCGCTGTTTGGGGAGCGCGGTACCGGGAGCACGGCGGGGCTGAGTCTGTCCCGAGCCTGTCCCGGGGCACGGCGGGGCTGAGCCTGTCCTGAGCCTGTCCCGGGGCACGGCGGGGCTGAGCCTGTCCTGAGCCTGTCCCGGGGCACGGCGGGGCTGAGCCTGTCCTGAGCCTGTCCCGGTGCACAGCCGGTCCGGTACCGAACCTGTCCCAGGACACGGCGGGGCCGGTACCGAGCCTGTCCCGGGGCACTGCGGTGCCGGTACCGAGCCTGTCCCGGGGCACGGCGGGGCTGAGCCTGTCCTGAGCCTGTCCCGGGGCACGGCGGGGCCGGTACCGAACCTGTCCCGGGGCACAGCGGGGCCGGTACCGAGCCTGTCCCGGGGCACGGCGGGGCTGAGCCTGTCCTGAGCCTGTCCCGGTGCACAGCCGGTCCGGTACCGAACCTGTCCCGAGCCTGTCCCGGGGCACAGCCGCTCCGGTACCGAAGCGCTCTCCCCCCGCGGAGCCCCGGGCCGGCCCCACGCAGGCGCAGTGCGGCGGCGCTGCCGTAGCCATACCAACGGTGCCGCGGAACCGGGCCCGGTTCCAGGGCAGCGGGGCGGAATCGCCGCTCCACACCCAACACCGGCAGCGGTGAGAAGCCCTTGGCCCGGTTCCGGGCCCGGAATCGCCGCTCCACACGAACACCGGCAGCCCCAGCAGTGACATCTGCAATGCTCCTTGGGAGCACCGGAGCAGCATCAGCAGCATCACGGCCAATGCTCCATCAGCACCGACTGGGGTGAGAAGGGAACATAACCCATAAACACACAGATTTCTTGAGTCACATCTTGGTCCTACAGAAGTGGAAGAGCTTAGCTACCTGTTGTAAWGGCTTCCGATTCAAAAAGACAGTTTTGTAACTACTTTGATTGTACTGGGATAGAATTTGGGCTGACCTGACTGACAGCTTTTTYCCCCCAATCATTGTTAAAAAAGGAATCCCTGTTTTTCAAAAACAAGTTTGGAATTCAGAGRGAAAGAATGCTAATTAAAAGCAAAGATGYCAGACAAATTATTCTATTYAAGATTTAAAKATACCAGTAAATTAATCATTAAATGTAATATTAAAGCACTAAGTCACGAYCTAATGAAACCCAGCTTTGGTATAAGCAAAAGAAAGTATTGTAACTTGTGTATCACTTTCATTTTCTTTATCATATACGTTATGTATAAACATAGAAAGCTAACATTTGTTTTATGGCATTACTAGAGACTTAAATTCACATTCTACTTCATTTTAAGGATCAGTGCATTTGCTATAAATGAGGTTCAACTACTCCTATATATAAAGATAAACATATTTATTTTATAAAAGTTTTGATTGCTGCTTAAGTACAACATACAACAAATTGCAATAAGAGAAAAGTTATTTACACATGAATTCCAGGATGTTGGTATTGATGACCCAACATAACCAATAACAAGGAAACCCTGCTGAATGCCTTTAAGTATCATTGTTTCCAACTTTGAACACCGGATAAAATTTTTTAAACTCAAAGTAAGAGAGTCGTRATAAAAGCTCAGAATATTGCCAAGAATTAAAATTTAAAATGTCAATAAACAGACACTGACTTATTTAGGTGAAATCAAGTCTAAACTGACTATGTGTCTCATAGTAGGCCTTCCATGGGGGCAGTTCCAGGGATGCTCAATCTCACCCATATGGGTGATCAGTTTTCTCATTTCATGCACGTTCAGTGCAGTTCCAATCATCACCTGCAAGTAAAAGAAAAAAGTGAATTATTTCCTTTCTCCATTTGCCAGCTGACACAGACCACAGCAGTAATATAGTAAATAAAGTACTTCAGCAGTAATATAGTAAATAAATTCTGTGCAAGGCATTAAAAGAAAAAAACTGATCAGACAATCAGAAGACAAAACACAGCTAACACGGTGTTCATGAGTGCATCAGTTTGGAACAGAATAAAAAACTAGCAGAATTTTTTCCCAAATCCTACTAGATAAAAACACAAGGAACAGGAAGAAGGATATGAGCTGTTGTCACTCAACAGCAATTAAACCTCCCCTGCAATAGATACACAGATGTCTATAATCCATCAGGAAAGGTGGTATTTATCTGAATACAAACATCAATTTCAGTACTTACAGACTTTCTGCAAGCTCGAGAAGCAAACATCTGTCTGACCCTGGAGGGCCTACACATGACTCCAGGGCAGTCACTCAACATGAAGATCAGCTCATCTATGTCTTGGGGACCAAAAGTCCAGTTTTTGCTTGTTGGCAATGATACCAATTTAACTCTTTGAGTTACAGGAGCTGGAAGGTTTGCAATGATAATAAACAGAAAAATACAGAAGTTACCTTTTCTTGAGAGAAAAACTACTTTGAGACCACAGAATCACARGTCTTAAAAAAACCAAATATCCCATATACAGTAATGCATCTTATCTCAAAGTTTCTGGTAACATAATTAGTAAGATTAAACCTTTGCRTTCTTTTACTTCCAGCAATTCTGGTTCAAACTCACCATCTTCATTTATGACAAAATCAAACCCATTTTTTCTGAATATTTCCAGGTTTTCAATCAATATACTTTCATTTACTGCTGTTAAATTGAGATTTTGAGGCCTGAAAGAGAGAGAAAAAGATGATATTGCACAGATACACAGTGCAGAGCATTAAAGACAGATTTCAGAAGCAACTTAAGAGACACTTAATACAGGGCTCTGTAGTAAAACTTTTCACTCTGTTAAAAAGAAAATGTCCCCAGTGAACAGTTACTTCCAAGTGTTACTCAGCAGAATTAAGTCAGKTGGGCAGCATTCCTTGCTGCAGGAACAGTCTCCAACATCCCACCACACCATGGGCTGCTATAAAAACCCACTGGGAAATCTGTTTGACCACTGACTTGCCACATATCTACAACAGCATCAGTGGAATTTATACCTCATGTGAGGATTGATGAAACACAGAATATAAAAACCACTTCAGTCTCAAGTGTTCTGAATGAGTGAAATGCTACATAAATATAATCACAGATATCCTTCTGAAACAGTGAATTCAACCTTAAAAATGTTATTGTTAAAACAYTGAAAATACTTACACTATCAGCTTCTGACCTTGGAGAACAGTGTGTTGTTGCAACATCTCGAAGTTGTATTTCTCATCAGTAGCATGTTGGTCAATTATGAAAAGATCAGAATTCAACTTTGCTATTATAAACCCTAAATTGAACTGGCCAATGATTTCCATTTTTGCAAACATTTCTTTACTGTATACGAAAGATATAAAGATATTATGAATTAYACTTTATCATGTTAGACTGCAAAACTTAAAAACCTCTTTTTCTTCCCTGCAGAACACACTTATCTGCCTTCTTTTCCCAATTAGAAGATTTCCTAACACATTTTTAATGCAAATATTAACAAATCACAGACTTACTGTCTGCTGACAACCTGAATATAACTTACTTTTCCAAGCATATCTCACCAAATTTCACATTTACATGAGGGAGGAATATGAGCCTCATGCAGCCTTTTCAGTGTGTTCTTACCTGTCATGACATTTGGTGTTTCTCTGACTGCACTACAATTTACAAGGCTCAACAAAGCCAAATCTATGAAGTTTGTGGCCTTTTTAGTGTCTTTTTYCACATTCTGTTTGCACTTTGTTCATGTAGCTGTTCTGTCAGTAAAATAACTCATCAAGTAGACTTTTTAGTGACAATAAATACAAAATAGGCCCAAARCTAATAGGTACATGTAGGTACATGTCTTGCCCACCCACCAAGGTCTTATATTTTTCCTTAACTAATTTTATTAAATTATTAACAAAATACATCAAGCAAGTGAAAGCACAAATACCTGATCTCTTTTCTTAATTCATCTTCTGCTACTTTATTGTCCCCAGGACTAATTTTTGCTCTGAATCTTCTGTAATTTTCTGTTTCTGCATTTTTCTGTTGTTGCTGTATAACCTTTTTTACCTTTTTTGCCAAAACCTTCATAGAGAATTCAAGAGGCACGATTTTCTTTTTGACTTCCACCAGTACATCAACACTAGCATTCTTCACTTCAGGACATTTACCTGCCTCAAAATCATGTGTTTCACTTCTAAAGTTTCTGCTTTTAAAACGTTTTACTCTTGGGGTACAACTCTTGGCTTCTTGAGACAATTTGTTTTGATCAGTCCAGTCATTCACTTGATCTGATTTGGGATCAGTRCCCAAGACCTGAACATCACAGTCCCATGATTTCTCACTGCAGCCAGCAGTGTTAAGACATTCCTTCTGAATCTGTTCTTCTGTGCTACAGAATTCCTCTTCAGAATTCAYTGCACTTTCACTATTGATGCAGTGCCCAGCTTCTGGTGTACTACATG